GGGGCTGCGGGAGCCTGGGCTGCACCCCGGGGCTGCGGGAGCCTGGGCTGCACTGGGGCTGCAGGAGCCTGGGCTGCACCCCGGGGCTGCGGGAGCCTGGGCTGCACCGGGGCTGAAGCACTTCCCAGGGCATGCGTTCTGATCTGTGATGCGGAAGCAGTGAGCTGTGGGTGAGGCCCCTGGCGGCCGGTGCAGCCCGGGGTTCCCACCTGGTGTGGAGGCTGGAGGAGCCTAGGGGACAGACCTGGGCAGGAGAGGACCATTTCCAGCCCAGCCCAGATCAGGGAAAGGGGACGCTGGCTGTGGGAAGCCGTGTCCTGCGGGAGCAGGGACTCGGGACGGGGGGGGGGCACCGGTCAGCCCTCCCGGGAGTGGGGGGCACCGGTCAGCCCTCCCGGGAGTGGGGGCAGGGGCGGCACAGGCCATGTCCGTGGTCCTGGGGTGGCACAGGATGGGCACGTGACCCCTCTGGCATGGCGGGGTGGTTCAGGCAGCCCCTCCTCCTCAAGGCGGGGCTCTCCAGCGAGGCCCCCAACTCCCTGTCGCCCACAAAGTGGCGTAGCTGTGTTTTCTTACGGCCAACGGCCTTCACGGGACGGGGCCGAGGCTGGGCCGCACGGTGTTAGTGGTCAGGCGTGAGGCCCAGGCCCGGCCCCACCCTGCGTCTCCTCCTCAGCTCTGTACGGCGTTCTGTTCGAGAAGAAGAAGGAAGCTGCCTTTGCCAACTACCGCCTGTGGGAAGCCCTGGGGTTTGTCATCGCCTTTGGCTACAGCTCCTTTCTGTGCGTCAGCACCAAGCTGTACATCCTTGCGGGCGTCCTAAGCGTGGCCATGCTGGCGTACGGGGTGGTGGAGTTCAGGGAGTCCAAGAAGACCATGCAGGTCCTGGCGGCGGGAGAGATGGGGCCGGCAGAGGAGGAGAACGCACAGTCAGAAATGTGACCAACCAAGGCCGGGCCGCGGCCCACCCGGACCGCAGCCAGACCGCAGCCGGACCGCAGCTTCTCAGGCTGCCCGAGGGCAGACCTGCCTCTGGGCAGCAGCTGGGCTTTCCAACAATTTATATGATTTTTGGCTTTTATGTAATGTTTTTTAGTCTAACCAATTTTCAGGCCACTTCCTGTCAGGTGAGATCAAGTCTATAAAATTAAAGTATCCGTTACCTCAATCTCAATAGGAAAGAAACACGTTGAAAGTTACCTAGTAGAGGTTTGCCCTGTTTTCCTTGTCATTGTGGAAGATCCACTCACAACAATACAGTCTGTCCAGCACTGCCGGTTTGCCAGACAGCTACCATCATCTCACAAACGGGCCGGCGCCCTCTCCGAGGGCCGCCTCCGCCCTGGCGCGCGAGCCTCTTGAAACGGAGGATAGTTTCTAAATAAACGCAAGTATTTTGTAGACATCCATCCTGTCCAAGTGCTTATTACAGTGCAGAGCACACACAAACCAAGCAGCAACCGAATCTGTGGTAGACGATCCGAAGTCATCCACGAGCGCAGAAGGACCTGAGCCACAGGAATCCCGCCATAGGGCGGGCAGGCATGGCACGTGTGTTCTGGTGCCCCGTGGGTAGCTCTGGCTGTCTTCATCCAAAGATTTGGTGACTCTTGGGTCTTCCTGCAACATCCCCTGGTCCACTCCTCCCCCCACCCATGCACCTGTCTGCAGGTGTAATGGTGGCCTCTCCATCTTGAAGATGAAGGCTATTTGTAGGGGTCTTTGAGGGCCTTGAGGGGCGACTGGCCAGAGGACCACAGCCTGGACATCCAGATCCTTCTCAATTTTTTTTTTGGTTGGTCATGGGGCTTGAACTCTGGGCCTGGGCACTTTCCCTCAGCTCTTCAGCTCAAGGCGAGCGCTCTACTGCTTGAGCCTCAGCGCCACTTCCGGTTTTCTAGTGGTTTATTGGAGATAAGAGTCTCATGGACTTCCTTGCCCAGGCTGGCTTTGAACTGAGATCCTCAGATCTCAGCCTCTGGGTAGCTAGGAGGACAGGCGTGAGCCACCAGCACCTGGCTGATCCTTCTCAATCTCAGTGCCCACTTATGACAGTTTCAGCCCAATGTCATTAACCTTTCCCTTGCTGTTGGCTTCCTTCCCTCATGGGCCCCTGGCACAAGCTGCTGCTATGTCTCTGCTGGGTCATTCTGGCTCACAGCCCCCCCATCCCCTCTGCTGCTTCCCCGCCCCACCCCGGGGCTGCCCAGCCCTCCCCCCCCCGCTGCCACCCAGCCCCATGGGCTGCCTGACTTCGCCTCCAAGTGTAAAGTCCATAACACCACGTGGAGCGTGGGGCACTTCAGAAGAGTAAAGGCTCAGTCCATGTGCAGAGAGGCGGGTGACACGGAGGCTTGGCTTTGGTGACGTGGTGTGTGGTGAGGAGAGCCAGGTGGGGAACCTCCCCTGCACCCCAGCTCTGCTCTAAGCACGTGGGGCCCCAGGGCCCTGCCTCCGCCAGCCCCCCTGCCCTCTGGGACAGGGCCCTGCCAGGCCCAGGCTCTGGCCCTGACAGATGTCAGAGGCGCCAGGAGCACAGAGCGAGAGCTGTAGCCGGGAGCCACACCCCGGAGGCTGGGCTCAGGGCTCAGGAGCAGGAGCACCAGCAGCTCCGAGTGTTATTTGGTGGGTTTTAAGAACGAGGCTAGACAATGACAAATGCTGGAGGGGATGCGGAGAAAGAGGAACCCTATTACACTGCTGGTGGGAATGTACACGTACACAACCACTTTGGAAAGCAGTCTGGAGGGTCCTCAGAAAGCTAAATATTGACCTCCCCTATGACCCAGCCATACCACTTCTAGGCATCTATCCTGAACAACAGGAACCAATATACAAGGACACGTGCACCTCCATGTTTATTGCAGCACTGTTCACAATAGCTAGGATATGGAAACAACCCAGATGCCCCACCACAGATGAATGGGTCCAAAAATTGTGGTATCTATACACAATGGAATATTATGCAGCCATTAGAAATGACAAAATAATGGCATTTGCAGGGAAATGGATGGAGCTAGAAGAAATCATGTTGAGCGAGGTAAGCCAGGTGCAGAGACAAACGGTACATGGTCTCCCTGATAAGTGGGTGTTAATTCCAAAATGTTAGGTGATACGACAAAATTAACAGGACTTAAGAAACAAAGGACTTCCACTCATTTGGTCGAATCACTACTAAATAACCCCCATGCTGCTGATCACATGTATGGTATATATGTGTACACCGGAGGGAAACCAGGAAGACGACACAGAACTAGAGGGAATCAGGGAAAAACATACAACAGCGGGACCCTTCAGCTGCACTGGACATTGACCAAAATGAACTAAGCAACTCAATGGCAGCGATGGGAGGGAGGGAACAAGTGGGAAAGAGGGAACAGCTGATGCTATGCAAAACAAAAGAAATGTACATATCACCCAATGTGGAAGAAATAACTGTACTGCAAAGCTCATAGAACTCATAAATGTTATAGACCGTGATAGACAATTTGCTCCAGGAAAGTTAGAATGTGTTTGTGACTTTAACTGAGCATCACTATCCCACAATACTGTGAAATTTGGGAAATTATGTAGCCATTTAATCACAATAAAAAAATGAAAAAAGAAGGAGGCTAGAAGAGTCCACGCAGATGTGGTCTGGTACGGTGGGCAGCTTGCGTCAGACCTGTCAGCATCTCAGTCGTGGTTCAGAGCCCGCCTGGCTGGAAGGAAAATGCCAGGTGCCAGCTCTCCTCCAGCCAGTCCTGCGGAAGGCAAGGGTGGCCGGTGCCCGTTAACCAGCAGACAGAAGGCTCGGTCACCTGCTTGGGAAGAGGGTTGAGGAGAGGGTGAGGCGGCTCGGGCCCTGCGGGTGCCCCTCCCCCGCCTGGGCGGGGTGAGCTCCGTTCTCCCCTCAGCTGCCCACGCGGCGCCTGGGCACTCAGGAGAGGGGTGGGGGTGGAATACGCTGCTCGTGGGCTTAGATTCCTCGGACTTCCCCCGGATTCCAGGTTTAAGTGTCGTCATGTGTGGACCCTCGTCTTGGTCCTGTCCGCAAGCCGGTAAGATGAGTGTGCCCTGGTCTGGCGGGGGACACCACCGTGGTGACGTTCGTCAGGTCCACATGGCCGCCCGTGGCAGCCCCCGGCCTGCCTCCTTCCTGGTGCTGAGCCAGCTCCGCAGACAGGCCAGTGGTCCTCAGAGCTCAGTGGCCGCAGAGCCCAGGCTCCGTGCCCAGCGCTGGGAGCACCAGCTGACCCCGAGTCCACACACAGCTGAGGCCCGGGGGTCGCGTGGGTCGCTGAACCAGTAGGAAGCCCACAGGAGGCTGTGAGGGAGCAAGGAGAGCAGGCAAGGTGGCCAGGGAGACCCCTGCTTCTGACTCGCCAGGGAAGGAGCGTGGCACTCTGTCCAGGCCAGCATGGTCAGACAGCCCGAGCAGTGGCCTGCAGCCCTCAGGCCCCGCCTCTCAGCCCAGGACAGTGCTGGTGGCTCTGTAATCCTCGTAAACCAAGGGTTAGACTAAAACCTGTCAAATAACTGCAGGATTTACAAATAGCTAAGCTAGGTTATCCAAGCCCTGCTTGCTTCTAGTCATCTTCCCACTTTGTAAACTAAATGCCAACTGATGCTTCGCTGTATACTTATAAAATGTCATAGCGGGGCTGGGAAGGTGGCTCAGTGGTAGAGCGCTTGCCTTGCATTCATGAGGCCCTTGGGTGCAATTCCTCAGCACCACATAAGCAGAAAAAGCCAGAAGTGGCACTGTGGCTCAAGTGGTAGAGCGCTGGCCTTGAGCTAAAGAGCTGAGGGACAGCGCCCAGGCCCAGAGTTCAGGCTCCTAGATGGAAAAAAAAAAATCATAGCAAGCAAGGGAAAGGATGACATCATCCAAAAAGAAATGTATTCTTCACCCGACTTACATAACTGTGACCCCCCCCACGGCGCCCTCCAGAGTGCGGCCTGCCGGCGCCTCCCGTATCCCCTTCCACCGCGTCTGCACAGAGCTGGGGAAGCCAGCTCAGTCCCTCGGCCAGCTCTGCATGCGGGGGCAGCACCCCCAGGGCGGCGAGTACGCACCCCACCACGCCACCCCTGCAGAACCAGCCCCAGGGGACTCCTCAGAGAGGCCGCCCCCTCCCACGCCATGAGCCGATGGAGGCCTCCAGTCCAAAGATGCACGCCGGCCTCGCGCACGCACGCCGGCCTGGGTGCTTACAGCCGACGGACGCCTGCTGCTTCCCACCCACAGCTACACCACCCAAGCGTGTCTAGGGGCTGGGATAAAGCCGGTGTGACAGCAGGGCTGTACGGGGGGCCATGGCCGTGTTCTGGGAGGGATGGCTGAGTGACCGAGAGACGGCCCAGGGGAGGGAGGCCCAAGGGGCGCTGGCGTCGAGAGGCCTGAGCGGCAGCGGGGGCCAGGAAGCGGAAGCATGGTGCCTCCACACCGCACCCTGGGCTGGCCAGGGGGCCCTGGCGTGGGGCGGGAGCCAGGCTGAGATGCGGAGTCAGGCCAAGGGCTGGAGGGAGATCAGAGCTGCTGCCGTGCACATGCTCCTGGTGGCTGGGACTGCAGAGCGGAGCAGACAGCGGACCCAGACCGCACCCGTGCTGCCCATGTGTAGGGCTGAGCAGCCTGGACAGGGTGGGGCCAGCACTGGTGTCCCTGCGGCAGTTCGGGCCAGCCAGTGTGTACAGGAAAGATCCTCACCCCATCTGAGGTCTGGAGGTGTCCTGAAAAGATCTTGGCCCGGGGCCTTCAAGGCACGCTAAGAAAATAGGTCTGTCCAGGTAAAGTCTGCAGACAAGCTGCCACATGGGGATGCGGGTCACTGTGGGTCACCGGGCTCCAACCCCGAAGCCCCACCCCAGCCTGGCCCAGCCATCAGGCCTCCAGGGAAATGCACAGGCCTTTGGGATTCCCCAGAGGGACTGAGCACCCCGTTTATAGCTGACTCCCTTCCTGTGGGACCCCATGGGACCCCACTGAAATATGGGAACAGGTCGGCCTCTCCCTAGGCCAGAAGCACCTGGAGCCAGGGCTGAGTAGACCAGAAGGTCATTATCACAACAATGATCTAAAACATAGAGGCCTGAGCAGGCCACTACTCATCAGGCCCTGTTTGTGCCCTGATTAAATCAGCTCAGGTGGAAGCCAGTGCCTGATGGAGGGCTCTATGTTATGTTCAAGGATTTGGCATGGATTCAGCCTGTTTGTGCCATTTTCACATGCAGTTGAGTTAAAAGTAAGCCGATTCGGTCTTTAACAGTGGCAGTTTGTGTTTTCCTTGGGATAAGAGCTCTGATCTGCCCTGTACCCCTGAAGTGAGTTGGTCATAGACCCAGCCCCGTGCACACAGTAAGACCCCCGGCTGCCTCTCTGTCATACAGTAATGAATGATGGCCACTGGCCCCCAGGATTCCGGTGTAGCATTCTGGAGCCCAGTGTGGTCCCTTTCCCAGGTCGGGAGGAGACAGGCAAGGCTTGGCTTGCTTCCAGGAAACCGTCACAGTGGCCATGTGGTTTGCCTCCTCCCCAGTGTTGGTTAGTGGGAGGGCTGCTCATAGTCTGACCTCACCATTTGGGGTAAGAGATCGGGCCTCACTGCCAAGAGAGCAGTGGCCAGTGCACGATGCTCAAAGAGTCCAGCTCTCCTCCTGCAGTCCCCAACCCTCCCACCTCCCACCTCCAGTGTCTGGGGGCTTGAGCGGTAGGGGATGCAGGTTGGAGCCCATGACTTTACATTAATGTATATTATGTCGCTACCGCCTCGACCACCAAGGAAGACGCGACACCGAACGCTTCTCTCTGCAGTTTATTCAGGACCTTTGAGCAATCTTCTGACCCCAACCCCGGGGAGAATTCCCCACAGCCTTAAGTACCCGCTGGGTAGCCAACCCTGATACGCCACGTGGGAACCACCAATAGGTTCAGGTGCGTGGAAGCAAGCCAGATTCTATGCCTTAGCCATATAAGGAGTTGTTTACCACAGAGAGCACTCGCCATCGGGAAGGCGGAGGGCGGAAGCCGGCGCCATCTTCCAGGTGCGGCTGCACGCAGCTCTCTACAATATTAATGTACATTAATAATGTATAATAATGTACATTAATGTATATACATGGTATATATACATCATGCATATTATACAATATACACAGTGCATATACATTATACATAAGAATTACATAATGTATATATTATGTATAAAGTACATACATCATGTATATTGATGGGTGTCCATTGTTAACTTATTATTAAAGCATGAATCTATGGCTTCTTGGTAGTTTATGAGTTTATTAGTAAGTCACTAAGATTTCCCAGTGAGGGAAAGGATTGCAGCTGCGAATAAAGCTTTCCGAATTCTGAGAGATTGAAATGGCTCCTACTCAGACTAAAGCTGGTGGCCCTGGGCCCCTGGACTGAGCTGTTCAGATGGGAGCTGTGGTTGCCAAGCAACAGCATCTCCGTTTCTGTCTGGAGTCAAGTGGAAAATAGTGTTTAAGAGTACATGCTTTCATAGCATTGTTTGTAATAATGTATTTGTGTGCTATCCATCCACGTCATAATGTCCATTCCTTTACATAATAATGCATAATACATTCCTTTACTTTACAATCTGAGTGATTTGAGCCCATTTATTCTCCTGTGGATAAATTACCATTAGCTTTATATTAATATAAATTAATACCGTCAGGGACTTGCCGAGATCCCCACCTTCTGCCACCAAGAGCTGCACGTTGCAATGGTTTTATGAGATATCAGCGTCTATCATTCATCTCATGACATTAAAAGACAAACGATTCCTGGCATTCATTTGCCTGTGTGTCTGCTGTTGCTTGGGGTCTGTGTCTGTCACACAGTGCCAGGCAGCGCTAGGTAAGCATACGCATGGACAATGAGCTCCCTACCCCGCCAGGAAGAGCAGCCCCTCGGCAGGGCTTCCCTCTTGGGGATGGGAGCGCCCCTTCCTTTTATTTTATTTATTTATCTATTTTTGGTCCATTGTGGGGCTTGAACTCTGGGCCTGGAGCTGTCCCTGAGCTCTTCAGCTCAAGGCTAGCGCTCTACCACGTAGCCACAGCGCCACTTCTGGCTTTCTGGTGGTTAGTTGGAAATAAGAGTCTCATGGACTTTCCTGCCTGGGCTGGTTTTGAACCGCAATCCTCAGATCTCAGCCTCCTGAGTAGCTAGGATTACAGGTGTGAGCGAGCCACCAGCTCCCAGCTAGAGCTCCCCACTTCCCTGTATGGGAACTTCCACCCAGTGTGAAAATTCTACTGGACATTCAATCTCTTGGACACATTTTAGTAGGACAGTGAATCTTCATTGAAATGAGGCCCAAGTTCAGTGGCATGGCGTGTCAACAGCTTGTGCAAATGCTCAAACCCCCTGTGGCCGCCTCTCCCACGGTGGCCAGGGGGACAAGACACACCACACATGCAGTGTGCACAGCACACACACACACACACAGACTAGACACACCACACATGTAGTATGTGCAGCACACACTCACACATGTGAACCAGACACACTACAATGCAATGTGCACAGCACATACACGTGAGCCAGACATACTGCACATACAGTGTGCACAGTACACACACAGACCAGACACACCACACATGTAGTATGTGCAGCGCACTCACACATGTGAACCAGACACACTACAATGCAATGTGCACAGCACAAACATGAACCAGACATGCTGCACATGCAGTGTACATAGCACACATATGAACCAGACATACTGCACATGCAGTGTGCACAGTATACACACACAGATCAGACACACCACACATGTACTGTACAACACACACATGCACTTGGGCCAGACACACCACACATGCATTGTGCACAGCACACACATGTGAACCAGACATATTGCACATGCAGTGTGCACAGCACACACACACTCACATGGACCAGACACACCACACATGTAGTATGTACAGCACACACTCACACACTGAACCAGAGACACTGCCCATGCAGTGTGCACAGCACACACACAGACCAGACACACCACACATGTAGTGTGCACAACACACACATGTACTCGGACCAGACACACCACACATGTAGTATGCACCACACACACATGCACACGGACCAGACAGACACAATCTCGGTTCAGAAGCAGCCCTGTGCTGTATGGATTGAACAAGTCACACATCTTCTGTTCGCAGATCTTCTAGAACACCCTAGACTGTTGAACATAAGTGATTTGGTAAACTTCGTGTGAAAGCTGGCCTTGGATTTGCAAAGATAACTTTAAAGTAAGTGGCCTCCATCCTGAAGACTTCTTCTAGCTTCAAAGCTGGGGAAGAGGCATCCCTCCCTCCCTCCCTCCCTCCCTTCTGTCTTCCGCTCCACACCCTCCTTTCCTCCACTCACCCCTCTCCCTCCTTCCTTCCTCCCTCCAATCATCTCTCCCTCTCTCTCTCCTCCCTCAGTCTCCCTCTCTCTCTCCTCCCTCAGTCTCTCCCTCTCTCTCTCCTCCCTCAG